AAAAAAAAACAAAATGGCGTGGCGTCGGTAGCCTTCTTTTTGGCGTACCCTAGACCGTCTTCGAACGCGTTTCCTTCGGGACTCGTTTACAGGACTGACCGTACGATCCCTTTTTCCCGACCGCACCCCCGCACCACCTTTTTTTTTCATGTAATTGATGGGACAATGGTGTCATTGACACCCATGACGTCACTATGGGGGACCTTTTTTTTTTGGTCACCAGCCATGCCCTCAGCCCTCATGAATCCTTATTGAAGACTTTTTTTTTGGTCACCAGGGTGGCCTAATGCATGAATCTCCAGTACGGTAATCGGGCTCCAAATTCGGCATTTTCAAATGGCTTGTACGGTAATACGCGTTTGAAAAGTTGGCCGGCCACCTTGGTTTGGACCTAGATTCTAGTATGCAAAGCCAAGACGAGGAATTCGCGAGTTCAAAATGCCAAACGCCCACTGGCGGCTAAATTATAACTACACTTTAACTAGTAAAATTTGACACTTATTTTAATTGTGATTGTGACTTAGTTTGTTTAGTTCTACTCAGCTTTTGTAAGCCTTTAAACAAATAGAATCATATTGACAAGTGTGTAGTATTGTCTTACTGAATGGGCCAGTGTACAAATTTGCTATAGGCATTCTTCTAAACAACCCGCATCAGAGATGTTTTAACAAAAAAAAATCATGTGCAAAAACCTTATTACGAAAAAATTGTCTCGATTCTGTGCGGCTCTAAATGGGCCGTTGCCGTCAAGTTTAGTTCAGTCTCTGATATTTTTTAGCCATGAGTGCTTCTTTAAGAAGGTAGTTAAGCGTTCGTTAACAAGTGGCCAAGATAAGATCTACCTATATAATAAAGCTGTATCTTAGTTCTAAGTTAAGACGTCATCAGTTATTCAACAGCTCAGATATTTTAAATTTGGGACGCGTTCGATGGTATACCGTTAGAACTTACTTAATTATTTTCTGCAGTATTGTATGGCAAAACAGATTTAAATTTTATTTGTTATTGACTTGTATTCTTTCTTTTCTCAATTCAGTGCTTTTTAGGTATTTCGCTCGCGTCATCGTGTGCGAGGCGTTCTTTTAATCGTTGGATATTCTATAAAACTTCAAAATTAAGTACCAAGTGCATCATGTAAAAAAATTGTTAGGCTCTGCGCGTCTTGAGCGCCACGACACCTTGTGAGCCAATATGGCGGATCGATCATCAACTGATCTCTCACCAACCGCTAGTAATTGCAAACAATTTGAAGAATCGATTAAAGTCAGCAACAAAAGAAACATAATCAGTCCTGGAGTAACACAAGTTGCTAAGAAGAAGCAAACTTTGTTAAAAGATTACTTACTAAGTAAAAATTCAACCAACTCATCGGAAAAAGTTCTACCTATAATTGAGGAACGAAAAACGAAGAAGACGAGATAAATGTTGACAATGTCATGAAAAGGACACGGTGGCACTGCAATATTAATTAAGTCAAGGATTAAGCACCATGAAATGGAAAAATACAATGAGGAACACCTTCAGGCAACAACTGTTAAAATAGAAGAGTGGATAGGGCGGACCACTGGTTATCTCAACAGTTCGTCCAAAATACTCAATCACACAAACTAAGTTCACTGAATTCTTTGAAACTCTGGACTATACGTTTATTGCGGGTGGAGACTACAATGCCAAACACCCATGGTGAGGTTCAAGGACATTGACTCCCAACCCGAAAGGTCGTCAACTGTATGCAACCATGCAAGCCAAAAATTATTTATACTGGTGAACCCACTGGTTAACAGACAGAATGAAACAACCGGACATCATTGATTTTGCAACGGTTAAAGGCATTAAGAGGCTCACTTCACTGATAAGTCATAAAGTGCCTAGACTTATCTTCAGACCACTCTCCAGTTATCATCGCACTTAACACTAAAATCACAGTAAAAGAAAATTATACCAGACTTCA